TCTTCTCTCTCTAAGAATCAATTTTAAATAATCTTTAAAACAAAAAAGATAATAAGAAAGAGGATACTATATCCTGGCATTGGAGTCAGAAAAACCTGGGTGTGAATTCCACCTGCATCACTTTCTATGAGCGTGACACTAAGCAATTTCTTCAGCTTCATGAGCCCATTTTATCATGAGTAAAATGTGTACAAGACCTATTTCATAGTAATTAAAAAATTCACAAGCTTAGTAAGACATAAAAGACACTTGATGATATAGCTGTTCTCTTTAATGCTCCCTTTTTATTAATAAAAAAGGCTAAAGCCCTAACTGGTTTGGCTCAGTGGATAGAGCGTCAGCCTGCAGACTGAAAGGTTCCAGGTTCAATTCTGGTCAAGGGCGATTAGAAAAAAAAAAGGCTAAAATAGGCCACATACCACCAGCAAAAGGCTCCCAAGCCATGGCCTAAGGACAACTGTGCCAAGGTAATGTTACCTTTTAAAACTGTTTTAATAATGTTTTATCCTGGCCAGGTATCTCAGTTGGTTAAAGCACCGTCCCGATATGCCAAAGTTCAGAGTTTGATCTCTAATCAGGGCACATACAAGAAACAACCAGTGAATGCATCACTAAGTGGAACAACAACGTTTCTCTCTCTCCCTTCCTCTCTCTCTCTAAAAAAAAATTTTTTAAAAATCAATCATTTTTTTAAAAAAACCAGTGATTTCAAATAACAATGCTTTAAACCTAGTAGGAGCTATTATAGATTGTCTACACCATATTTTTCCACATTTGATAATCATGCTACCCTCCCTCCACTTTTTTTCTTCCTGTAGAGGCAGGAATCATTACTTTGGGTTGATTTTTTGAAATTCTTAAAAAAAACAAGACAATTCCAGGCATTAGCTATGAAGAGTTTCTGCCTTCTTGAAAACTTTTCTCTCAGCTTTCCTGAAACAGCTCTCCTAGTTATTTCTAACCAGCATAGCAGCTCCTTAATTTCCTTTGCTAGTGTCTCCTCAATCTCGAACAGACCTTCCTTTAGACATTTTCTAGGCCTAATCCCAGACCATATACCTGTTCTCTTATCTATGCACTCTCCTTAAATAATTTCATTCATAACCTTAGACACTATACACACACATACACATATATATGATTTTTATACTTTCTAATACACACACACACACACACATACACTTTTCTACTCCCCTCCCTCATAATGATTCATGGACTAAGATGTCTTACAGGCTACTCAGAATTCTTTTTTATATTTTTTTAAAATATATTTTATTGGGTTTTTTTTTACAGAGAGGAAGGGAGAGGGATAGAGAGCCAGAAACATCGATGAGAGAGAAACATCAGCTGCCTCCTGCACACTCCCCACTGGGGATGTGCCCACAACCAAGGTACATGCCCTTGACCAGAATCGAACCTGTGACCCTTGAGTCCGCAGGCTAACGCTCTGTCCACTGAGCCAAACCGGTTAGGGCCAGAATTCTTTTTTTTAATCCCTCAAATTTATTCCTTCTCCAGTATTTCCCATCTCAGGCAACAGTACTGCCATCTATTCAGTTGCTCAAGACCAAAACCTGGGAATCAGCTTCTTTCCCACTCCCACATTCAATCCACCTACATCCAATTCTATCTGCCACCTGCCTTATTATCTGTTACCCAGACCAAGTGAATAGCTTGGATCTCCCTGCTTCCATTCTTGTTCCTGCCAATCCACTCTCCACCCAGCAGTAAGCAATGTTAAAACAAAACAGATCATGTTGCTACCTCACATAAAATCCTTCAATCACTTCGGACTACATTTATAGTGAAATCTTACACTGGTCACCTTATGTTCTTTAGATATATCCCTCTTTCACCTCACTACCTTCACAAATGCTGTCTCTTCAGCCTGGAATGTCTTCCTACCATATCTTCAAAATCCTTAAAGTTTCAGCTTCAATGTTATATACTTCTGGAAAAAGGCTTCTCCAACCCAATTAAAATTAGGTCCTATTATACCCTCACTAGAAGCCTATACTTTTCTTCCCTAGCATTAAAAAAATAATTATAACTATGTTATATGTACAACTATTTGATTAATGTATGTTTAAGCAGAGTCAGTATCTGTTTCCCTAATCACTGCATCATTTCACAGTGCCACAGCCATGTGTCCTTTTACCAATAAATATTTGAAACAGAAAACTCATGAGTCCTGGCCCTAGAATGGCTGCATAATACAGCAAGATATGCCATGGATATTTAACTATTTCCCTTCAGTTGAATTTTTAGGCAAAATACTTTTTAAAAATCACAGTGCTAGGCAATGAAAGGAATCCAAGTAGAAGGAAGACAAGTTCTCAAGAAGTTTCTGGAGTGCCTGTCTTTTTACTTTTTTTGTTCTTCCATAGTTCCTAGCACACAGATCCCTGGTAGATACTTAAAGCATTTAGTGACCAAAGTACTACATGATAATCAAAGTGATAGAATTAAATGTTACAAAATTCTACATAATAGGGTTCACTGAAGGCTAGAAGCAATAGAAAAATGTTTAAGGAGCTAGAACTCAATTTAGATAGGGTGAGGAATAACTTTTAGGGATCTGCCCAACTTACACTATCACTCCTCACCTGCCCCCCTTCAATAGCAGTATGACCAGATTTGTACTCCTTAACACAAAACATTTCTATAATCCATTTGCTGAATTCTAAACAAAATTATCTTCAATATGAGCTTCTATGCTTAGTTAACATATATTAATGAAACTTTTTTTGGCCATAAAGGACCTGAGTGGTAGATGATAAAAAACTACAAAGAATTCATTATACTATCTGTTGCATAAATGAAACTTAACAAAACATTTTACATGCTACATTCATTTAATAATGTAGGTATTAGGATCGAAAATTGAAATCCTAGAGTTTTAACTATGTACTTTCTGAAGGACCAATATAAGATCAAAATAATAACTACATTAGCTATTATTTTCCAAGCACTGCACATGGGACTTTCTGTGCATTCCCACCCCCACCCCACCCCCCACCCCCAATCTTCAGAATAACCCTGAAAGTTGAAAAAACTGAGGCTGACAAGCTGGGTGACTTCAACGACTATACAGCTTACAATACAGGTGTTCTTTTTTTAGACAATGTAAACTGAACTAAAAATGCCAAAACAAACATAAAAACCCTGAAGTTTTGGAGAACTTCACATGCTTGGTTACTGAATTTAAAATAACAAAAGTTTTCCTAGGAAGCATACAAGTTCAAGGAATATAACATCCTTTCATTTAAAAAGTCTTTCTAGCTCAGCTGATGTGGCCCAGTGGTTGAGAGTTGACCTATGAACCAGGAGGTCATGGTTTGATTCAGGTCAGGGGACATACCTGGGTTGCAGACTTCATCCCCAGTAGGGGGCGTGCAGGAGGCAGCCAATTAATGATTCTCTCACATCACTGAAGCTTCAATCTCTCCCTCTCTTCCTCTTTGAATTCTATATATATAGATACATATATATATCTATATATAGATACACACACACACACACACACACACACATAAAGCCTTTCTAAAACTCATGAGTAAATATAGAGTGCTTTACTGCCAAATTACTCCGCTTTGGTGAAATATATCTGAAATTTACCTGCATTAATAATTTCAATAAAAGTTCTCTTAAAAAAGGAAAATTACCAGCTACATAGCTACTTTACAAAGATTTTTAGTTTTGAAAGGAAAAAATAACAGATTTGAGAGAAAATACAAGAGTATGAGTGTTATAGAAAGTGTTTTTCTTTTAATATAACAAAATACCACAATAGAATAACAGTAGCATTATCCAAAGCCAAATGATGCCAGGCTTCTAATCAATAAGCTGTTAAGGGTTGAGACATCTGTAATTATTTCAAACTGTATGAATGCTACATTATCAAACACTGGGACAAGTAGCTTTGTATGAAATGACTGTATGAGATCAAATAATCACATCAAAAAGAAATTACATACTTCTGTATTTAAACTTTACATACTAAGATCTTTTCAATCTGTATGCTACCAACTCTTTGCATTCACCAGATTTCATCAATGTAGTCATTACATATTGTAAAAGCAAACTTCAAGTATTCCCATAAAATAGTTAATTAGTTGAATCTCAAAAGCATCAATGTTATCGCGAAATATCAATTTTGTACCATCAAGAAATAAAAGTCGTATGTGGCCATAAAATGGAATTACAGAAACAGTATAGGGATGATTTTCTGTTAACAAAGTATAACTATGCAAGACCCCACAAAGTCTTTCTGGACTTCCTCCGCAGAAAAAAACTCACTGCTGCTCTCTCTCAATCTCTCCTGTGCGCCCCCTCCCCCATCTTATTTTTTATAGACTTTTAACCGGAAAGGTTTACATTAAAAATGGATTTATAGCATTATCAAGAACAGCATGTCTCTAGATTTATGATCTTTGCATATTCAAGGTTGCAGGAATTGAACTTTAATAATTCATGGACCGCAAACACGCCCTGTTAAGGTTTTTCCCTCCAACACTAAAGTTCCTACCCTTGGGATCCCTAATGGGTGTACATGAGCCATACAACAATACAACCTTTTAAAAGGACACAAATGGTAGGTTTGCTCTCCTGAGACGTCCTCACCTAAACCTCCTGCACATTCCCTTGCGGGCCCACAAGCATAACTGTCATGCAGAGAGATGGTTAATTGTTCAACGCGGCTGAGAAACCAAGCGTAATTGAGATACATAACTGGATGGGGAAGGTTGTTAAATGCAGCCTCTCCAGTATCGAGTAAGTAGCCTAACCCGCTGCAAACTTTTAAGAGATTAAGTTACATTCCTCTGCAATTCCACCCTTGACAGCTGAATCCAGAGATGCCAGCGAGTCGTGCACATCCATTCGCGCCACCTCACCGGGGGAAAGCAAGAGGCCACATCCTGTGGCCGGCGCTGACCCGAGGTTGGGAAAGGAGGGAGGGCTGGCGAGAGGGCTGCAGGGGGAGGGCCGGGAGAGCTCACCTTCTCCAGCTCATCGTGCAGCTCCGCTAGGCTGGGACGGAGCAACTTCTCACCCAGCTGGGCCACGGTGTGCCGGTAGTGGTCGATCCTGGGCACAGCGTCCATGGTGTTGTGGCCGAAGGTGCGCTGGTAGTAGGTGTTGGTGTGGGTGTCATAGTAGTAGTGCTGGTGGTGCCCGCTGCTGCCGCCGCCCGAGTGCAGGCTGCTGCCCTCGCTCA